ACTGAAGGCTTTGTATTTCTTACGTAATCTGGTTCAATAACAAATTAGTTTTTCTCAGAGATATTTCCCAGCGTTTTCTCTATGCTCTAAGGTATTTTCCCACTGTTTCTTGGACATTCTTGCAAATTCACTAATCACTAGAGTTTTCTCGCACCAACGAGGAAAAGAGTTTATTAGTAGAGTTTCTTCAATTTTACCATGTTATATTCATTCGCAATTTTCATTTTCCAATCCTATTTCCCTCAATTTCTTGCAAACCAACCAGAAGCAACAACTGGATTTATCCTATTTGTTTGTATTAAAACCTAAATTTGGTTTGAATTTGCATAGTACCGTCATTGAAATCACGCGATCCACTTCAACAAGATGCAACAAAAAATACAACAATAAAAAAAACTACTTTGGAAGAAAAATCGCTACCAGATCCAAATATCTATTACTAAGAATCAAACAAATCAAAACCAAGGGAAGAAACTTCACCGCCAAAAGAATCAAAGAAGATTTACATGAAGAATCTAACCTTATCCAGAAAGCTAAAAAGATAAACGGATCTCCACCGCTCCTTTAGAAATAGCCAAAACAGGGAACAATAAAGAAATTATTAGTAACGAAAGAGAACAAACTTTGTTTGGAAGCAGAGAAAATCGGGGAGAGAGAGTGAGAATAGGGCGAGAGGGGGTTAAAATAACCGGGCGGACTCAGCGAGTGGCAAGCGAACAGAGAAGGGTAATCGGTGTCTTCAGCCAATGGTAATTCGACACGTGTAAACTTTTAAGGGTACATCTAGAATATCTGACTTTTTCTCCTCGGCTGTTTTTGGGTTGGGTACAGTGTGTACATTAAGTCTGCGGTCACGGATGATATCACGCCACGTGGGGACTATTGCGTAATGGACCGTCCCTTAGCGATATGGGCCAAAATTGGATTAGACAATAACAACCGTCCGATCAGATTTTCGCCGACTTTCGACGGATGGGATTATAGATCTGGAAACGAATTATGACACGGAAAAGAGTGGAGTTTCGTAAAGAACAACTCCAAGCCTCCGAGTGTAAAACCGTAAAAATAAACGGACACCACCGGGAGTCTCCGAGGTTAAAACCGTAAACATACACGGACACCACTGGATTAGAAAATATATAGAGGTATATGTGTGATTATAATTCACATGAGACTATATGATCAAACAATCACGAAAGAAATAAATTGAAGTGAGCGAATCTTTCCTATTATAGATATATGCGATACTAAATTTAAATTAATTGATCGATAAATTAAATATCAATAATTATATTTTAAAAAAATCCGATTGATTCATTTAATTATTCAATAGTTCAAGAGTTTGGGCTTCAAAATCTGGGTTTAATGGACTGAACATGATGCTATCTTGTTGTTTTTCAAAGGGAGTGAACTGAGGGGAATACAAGATTGATATCAATTCATTTAATCGTAAGCCCACTCAAATGTTTATGGGCTTCAATGTACATATTAAGTTTTGGCAAAGCTGGCCCAGTACAGCATTTGGGTTTTTTTATTTAGCCCAATAGTGCACGTAGAAGTTTATTTTGAAATTTACGATATTTTCTACTGTGACATGGAACTCGTCACGTTGAAGTGACAAATTCTAATAAAAAAAGTATTCAAACTTTTTAACTCGATGTGATAATTTTTAATAAAAAAAATTGTATTTTATTAGAACTCGTCGCTTCGAAGTGAAGAGTTATATGAACTTTGTAAAAAATGCAGTAGATCCCAAAATAAAAACTGATATGCCCTAATAGAATAAATAAAAAACCCCATTATCTGGGCCAAAAAGAACCTTAAATTTTTAGGCAAACTACCCATAAGGACACTAAATTAATGATTTTAATTTATATAACCACTTAACTAAATCATTTATCAATTAGGTCACTAAACTTTAAATTTAGTTTCAATCAAACCATCTATTACTAAATGTTAACAGAATTATTGATATGATAGTTAAGCAAATTAGTATAATATCATATTTGATCCTTATTATATCAATTAAATTTTTATTTTAATTAAAAATAATTTAATAAATTAATCTATTAAGATAGTGACACATGTCACCATCTTATTGAAGAAAATATTAAAAAAAATGGAAATGAGGTTACTAGAAATTGAGGAAAATATTATTATCTACTAATCCATATAATATTTTAAAATAATATAAATATTTTTTAGTAGTGAATAACATTATTTTATACATTCAATATCAATATGATATTTTAATAGTGTTTAAAGAATTATTTAAATGTTTAAAATACATTTGTATATAAAAAATAGTTAATTATATGATATGTCCTCAAACTATGATTCTTATTTAAAATTAGTTCTTAAACTTTCAAACACTCCAATTTCATCCTCAAATGATGACTCTCGTTCTAAATTAGTCCTTAAACTTTTTGATCTTATAATTTCATACCCAAAAAATTCAAGGACTAATTTAGAATGATAGTCATAATTTAAAGATAAAATTTAAATATTTAAAAAAATTAAAGACTAATTTAAAATAAGAGTCACATATTGAGGACGTAGGATGTAATCAACTCCGTACAAATATAACTACATAACGTATTTTGTTTTTGTCCCATCTATCAATTGTTTTTTTTTTTTTTGACTTACAACGACAAGATATGATTGGGGATTATAAAACAAAAAGCAATATTTAGACGTTGGAATTCGTTCTCTTATTTGTCGAACCAAAATTGGATTCACCAATGACTTGTTTAAAACGCAACAAAATACTTTCACGATTTGGACATTTATGCAACATTGAACAACTGAATTTGAAAGCTCCAAGTTTTATCCAACTGTAGATAGTGGACTTCTACTTTTAGCGTTCGGCGGTGCGGTGGCATTCCACGTTCGTCAAACAATATTATACACTTGTCAGCCAATCATTTACGCACATATAATTTTAATGACTGCATATGAATATTGTTTAGTTATGTATTTATTTATATATGCACTGCATTTTATCTATATTTTTAATTTTCTGACTGTCGGAGGTCTTTCACGGAAGCTACTCTCAACCTGGCGTTGGGAGCAGCCTATTACCCTACCTCCCCTTACCCCATACATATAGGAATTGGATTTTGTTGTTGTTGTTATTGTTGTTGTCAGCCAATCATTTAAAGCCACGTCATACAGAATATAAATATATAAAATCACTGTAAGCTAATGCATTTGAAGTTATGGTCCTATGGATTCTTGCTAAATTTAAATTCGATCCGTATGATATTATCAAATTAAATTAAAATAAAATTTATAAAATGAAATATTAACTCATAATATATTTTACATGTATTTATGTTGACTTTTTCCGGTAATAAATCATATTGATAAATCTTTTTTGTGGTAACGGAGTGCGAGGGCCACTAAGCTTACGGTTCAATGCATTACTTGATAGCTTTTGGGGGGGGGGGGTCCTGAATTGGGAGATCGAGCTGAGTTAACACGTAGCCCATGAAATGGAAGGAAGTTTCAAGACAAAAATCATGATCACCAATGGCAGTGCAATCGAGTCACCGTCCATTAACACTTGTTTTCATCAAGTTATATTCGGTTCCGACAAGATTCGGACACAACATTTTATATCGTAGTGAATTTGAAGTTATAAAATTTTAAAGGAGATAAATAATTTTTTAATAAAATTTATATATAAAATATTTAAAATATATGATAATTTTAAATTTTTATAGTCGACATGCAATTAGGTTTATTCATAGCGTTATTAAATAAAAAAAACCACATTTATTATTTTGTTAGAAAAATAACCTCAAACAACATTAATTAAAATAATACCTCCTAAACTATCATATAGGACTATCTTGCATCTTACGAAACACGTTTTAAAGATCTCATTTTCTACTTAACGCGAAATCTATCAACTTTTCATAAAATTTTATTTAATTTTTGGATAAAAATTAAAGATACAATAAATACATAAAACTCGTTTACGGATTTTTTTTAATTAATACTATTTGAAAATTGTTTTCCTACTGAAATAATAGAGTTTTTCATTTAATAACGCATTTATTATTCTTATCGTCGTCGACCTTGTTTCTTGCCGTCCTGTCTAAAGCGAGGCCTAACCCTTTTGGCAACTTGGTCAAAGGCAGAAATAACTTAATGGCGATGTGATTAGCCACATCTTTGAAAATGTCAAGTTTTATTGATGGTAATATACTAAAAGGTAAGCTACATATTTAGTGTTAAAATTATCAGTTTGATAGTTTTAATCTGTGTTAATATTTAAATTTTTATTTTTTTAAAACTATACCTGATATTATTTTTGTTTTATTTTAATACATCATCATTAAAAAACTAACGCGTTTAATACATAAACTATCAATTTTGATCCGTTTTAGTACCTAAACTTTTTAAAAAAATTAAAACTTAACTTTAAATTTTAATTGGGTACTAAAATGAAATAAAAACAAACTTTAGGTATGATTTTGAAAAAATAAAAGATGATGTACTAAAACGGACTAAATCTGATAGTTTAGGTATTAAATGCATAATTTACCCTATATTAAATCATTTTCATTATTTTATTTTTCAATAAAAGTATTTATTATTAACTTATCGGTAATTATAAAAATATAAAATTATATAAGTGAAAAAATGAACATAAATACTTAAAACAGTTAGGCAGAGCTCATACTTTCCAGATTCACGGATTAGTATACCTTTAGTCCAATTGTTATGTTATTAATTAGATAATTAAAAGGTTAATCTCATTTTCTAATATCTTTCGGCTGAGACCAATCCCAGCTCTCTGACATAATGCATTGATTAATTCGATTTTCTCGATTAAATCATGTCTTTCGATATTTTGAATAAACGTTACGATTGGTCAATAAATAGGGTATTAAAGATTTTTTATATACACGATGACTCAAATCTTAAACATTGTTTAAGCGATATCAAATTGTTTACCACTTGAACTAACTCCGTCAATATAAATAGTATATTCAATAAGAGATTGTACAAACTTCATAGGAATTCATTGAAGTGGTGGGAAAAATCATATGTACAATATTTGGTATTTCATATCAAAAGAAAGGTAAAGAAAATTATACTTATACACGTGATCACCACCGGCGGCGAGTAGGAAAACAAAGAGTGATAAAACCAAAATCATTTTCCATTTTCCCAGTATAATTCTATTGCGATTCATCAACTCTTTTGCTTGATTTGATTCTCCTGTTGATTTCTTTCTCCAGTTCTTCAAGTCCTCCCACTTCCTCCAACTCCTGTCCCCAATACCAAAGACGACTTCATATTTTGCGCATTGATTATACAACGTTAAGATGATTTGATGGCATGTTATTATTTGATTATTGGAAATAAAATAATTAAGAGAATTAGACAGCTCAGTCACCTTGGGTCCTAGAAACAGCCCATACGGGACACCTTGGAATTTTTCTGAATGGTGGAGCTGAAAATGCCAAACATCAAATCCAGACAAGATCAGAACTTCGAATAAAAATCAAAATAAACAAATAAATTGTTTTATTTATGTATGCATAATAATAAGAATGTTATTAACCTGGTGAGCCGCGGCAACCTTCCTGAAGTAGGGAACGTTGGCTATAGGCCCCACTTGGAATCTCTTATGCACCAGACCGTCGTGGACGAACATGTAAGCCATTCCGAACACAGTAATCCCAAGTCCCTGCACCCAATAAAAAATATGAATATAATTATAATTTATTAAAAATATGAATATTAAAGACAGGGAAGAGGGAGACTTACAGCACCAAAACACAGACCGGGCACAAGCCCTTTGTTAAAGAAACCATAAGACAGGAGAGCAATGGCCGGGACAGCGTTGATAATGGCGAATACATCGTTTAGCTCGAACGCACCTTCTCTTGGCCGGTGATGAGACTACCGGAAAATAAATTACGATAAGTCTATTCAGCAAGATTAGAAATTCGAATCGTAGAATTGTGAATGGAGAAATACCTCGTGCATATGCCACAACGACGCATGCCAGAGCGCTCGATGTGCCCATCTAGCCCAAAATTCCATGCCCACCTGGAGAAGAAACCCCGGTTTCAGATTCCGAGGAGGTGAAGAGAGTTTATGAGGAAATATGAATCGAACTTACAGCAGCACCGACTGACAAAGCAAATGTACCGAACATTTCAGAAAGAGGAACCTCTCCGCCCTGACAAATATTGAAAGAACAAGACGATAAAGGATTGGTAGTGTAATTAAAAAAACAAAGGGGGAAGGGAAAGAAAATGAACCTCCATTTGCCAAGAAAATCTATAATAAACGGCCAGAACAGCCATGGAAGTGATACCGAAACTAGACATGACAGCAGCGACAAGGTAAGTGAACCTTTCGGATCTTTTCCTAGCCAATTTTTCAGCCACGTGGGCGGGTATTAGGATCCGCGGGTCGATGTTCGGGTTCCCGACATCCTGGGACCCTTCTTCTCCGCGGTTTACGACCTGGGGTTCACCGTGTTTTTGTTCTCCCAACACAAAGGAAACGGACAGCGAACTTGTCTTCCTCCGAACGTCGACTGCTATCCTTTGGGGATGAACTAAAGGGTTGAAAATCGGCGTTGGGTTCGGTCTATGGTGTGGGGAAAGTAACGAAAGGAATGGTTTAGGGGTCACGGCGGCGGATAGGCCAGCCATGTAAATTAACCGCGAGAAACTGAAAACCTAAAGCGAGCTCCGGCGGAGGAGATGAATGCAGAGGAAGAGAGATGCGTCGGTGATAAAGATTGCGGAGTTTTGGTTCTTTTATAGAGTGACAAGTGCGCGAAGACCACAACTTTTCTGTTTGATTTTGGTGTCAACTGTCGTCAATTGTATATGTTTTAATTTATTGCACAATTAAATTAAAAGTGGAAAATTACAGCATTGATTCTTCTACCAGAATTGCCACTATGATTCGTTTCCAAACGTAACACGTGGAGTTTATATACCGACTTAGACTAGTGTTGATTTAATTAATTTTACACGGTTTTAAGATTTTATATATAATATTATTTGAAGTGTATATATACCATTAATATTTTAACACATACAAATTAATTACTAGTTGATCTAATGATAGTATTAGGTTCATCGAAATATAAGAGATTAATCAATTATTGACAAAAATAGAATATGAGAACCGTTTTATTATAAATATCTATAATACTCAATTAAATTTAATCGATAAATAAATTAAAAATGTTTTAATTCATAAAATTTGAATTTAATTATATAATTATACTACTAACGAGGCCTTGGTTTAAGGAGAAGATTGAAGAATGAGAACCTTGATGTTTCATGTTTTACAGTATACTCCAAATTTAGGATTTTAGTATCATGTTAGTTTTGGTATAGGTAAGTCATCAAGTGGTTTGGATGATAAAAATAAAAATTATCTTTTTACTAAAAAGTCTTTGATTCAAACAATTATACTACTACTCAATTATAACGAGCTATCTAAAAATAAATAAAAGAATATTTTAAATATTTTAAACGAAACCATTTAATCAATATCCAATAATCGAAAGAAAATAAATTAATGTTGAATAAAGTATATAAATGATCTTTGACTATAGAGTATTGTTTTATTAAGTCCATCGACTATTAAAAGTTATAAAATTGTCAACCAACAATTCATTATGTTACAGACTTGTCATTTTCCACTTAAAATTGACAATATTTTGAGCTGAACGTTAACATATTAATTGTGATATGATAAAATTATATCTCATAATCTCCAATGACTATCATATCTCAGTCATCATGTTATCGTCTGACTTAAACAACCGTCAACGTTTTAATGAAAAAGGGTGAGTTTGGAATATAATGAATAATTAGGTGATCATTCTGTGACTTTTAATAGTCGATGGTCTTAACAAAGTAACATTCTATAGTTTGAGGACTATTTTGTAACTTTTAATAGTTAAGAGATTTAATAATGCTTTATCCTATAGTCAAGGGACCATTTGTGTACTTTACCCATTAATGTTTTATAACTGTATCAGGAGTCCAAATCACAAGTAGGGAGGAGAAAAGGATAGGTTGCGCAGGTACGTGGGGCGGCGTGTACAAATGTAGGCGAGGCCCCATCTCATTCCAACCAAACCAATTTAAATGGAATTCTTGAAAGAAATAATAATTGACCGCACAAAATCGAATTAAGGTTCGTGTATTTGTCCTGCCACGTGACTCCCCGGTACTTCGGCCTAACTACCTATCGGAACCTTTTTGGACATGTTGTGGCCATGTGGGAGGTGTCCATTGGGCACCGTTTAGACACGATTTCTCCTTTTAGCCGTCGAGTCGAGCACATGGGCGAGAGGTTCCCTCCAGGCTCCACCCACAGAATCCTTGCGGATCACAATGTACTTCTAGTTCTATGCCACACTTATTTTGAGCATAGTTAGTTAATAAACTAGTTTATTTTAAAAATTTTTGGGTTTATTATAATAATATAATTTATATTCAAAAGATTATCAATTATTTAATAGTGAAGATTAAAACACTCGTACAGATGTTGTACTTGAACACAAAACCTCTAGAAAAACTAATCATTCTTTAAGATTTTAACTGTTGAGATCGCTTAATTCATGAACCTTATGATAGTTACATTTAATCTTATTAATCATATAATAATTTTTGTCTAATACTAAGCTATTTTTACCTAAAATAAGATAAGACGAGTTTGTCACTCTCGACGAGCATCGATGAACACTACTAAAGTTTAGCACCATTAATTTAATTTATAAAAATTTAAAATTCTAAATGACTCAACGTATAATTATAAATTAGTTAAACATATAATTATAAATTAATTAAAATTTAAAGGTAAATTATTTGAAGTAAATGGCAAAATATACTAGTGACCACCTAACCATTGCCCATTTTCATTTTGACCACCATTTTTTGGAAATTTTGTCAATCAAGTCACTCAACTATTTAAATGCATTCAATTAAGGCAATTGTTGTTAATATTTAACATGTATGATGACGTGGTTGCTATAATATTTGGTATAATTACACATTTGGTTATTGTTACTTATATATTCTATCAATTTGGTCCTAATTTTAATAAATTAAAATAAACTTATTTTAATTGCAGATAAGTGTAATAACATATAAAAAATAAATTAAAATAAATTTAATTACATGTGAGTGTAATAAATTAAAAATAAATTTAATAGTCCAATCGGATGGTGACACATGTTATTACACTTATATGTAATTATACCAAATGTGTAAATAAGTTTATTTTAATTTATTAAAATTATGACCAAATTGATAGAATATATTAGTAACAGTTACCAAATGTGTAATTATACAAAATATTTTAACTACCACATCGGCTTCTTTGTTAAATATCAACGAAAAGTTGCTTAATTGAATGCATTTAAATAGTTGAATCACCTTACTAATGGAATTTCAAAAAGGTGGTCAAAATGAAAAGTTCAAATAGTTAGGTGGTCATGAGTATAGTTTACCCTTTATTTTAAATAATTTACCCTTCCATTTTAAACTAATTTATAATTATCCGTTGAGATTTTAAAATTTTATATTTTTATAAATTAAATTAATGATAGTCATTGTTAGTTGTGCTCATTAGTACTTGTCGAGTGTCATAGTACTTTTCAAATAAGATATTGAAAGTTAAAAAAACTTATAACAAGAGCCCAAAGCTAAAATTCAAAAACATGGGCAGCAAGGTTCGGTTTGCAAGAGCCCACACAGAATAAAGCGGTGTAAACGCCTTTAATGTATTGCCCATATCAAGAGAAGGATTTGCAAGAGTAGCCCAAATAATTTTAATATATTTCCAAATTTAAATGAAAAACAAAAAAGAATTATTTAGGCAAATAATAGGATAGAGTTATGATCAAATATTAAGAAAAATAAACTATTTAAGTTTACAAAAATAAAAAATTATTAAGTATTTATCTAAAAAAAATGAAAAAGGAAAAGACATAATTTTATTTAAATTAATAGGACTTAAAAGAAATCCAAATTAAAATTAATATAAAAGAAATCAAAATTAAAATTGATCAGATCAAAAATTGATGTACTATTAAAAATTCGAATAGAAGTATAGAACTTAAGAGTGTTAAAAAATGTCCGACCTAATTGATCCGGTTTGTCGACTCGAATCTAAAAAATCAAATGATTTTCTTTAAAAAATAGCCCTACCTCTGATTTTCCCTGGTATTTGGGTCGGGTCTCGGTCTAATTTTTTTATAATTGGGTACTTAACCCAACCAAGTAATGTTAATATATATATATATATATATATATATATATTAGGTTATTAATATTTTTACCTTAAAATTAAATTTAAATCTCTAATTTTCTCTTAGAATTTTAATATGTAATTTTAAATTTTATAAAAAGTTTTTATTACTTTGTCAATATGAGATTAAAAAAAATCCACTATCAATATTAATAACTTTAATTTTTTTAGAAATAAACTTTAATACATGTATATATATCCAAATATTTATCCTTAAAACTAATTGTAAATCACTAATTTTTATAAATAGATTCTATATAATGAACTTATGTATTTTATATGTGATTTAAAAAAATTAAAAATAGATGAACATGATACACGTGATCCGAAAATATGGGTACCCGACTATCAAGTATTCGAATTTAACATCACGTACAAAAATATACTATCTGGAGAACTAAATATCCAATATTCCGGGTATCCGAAAATATGGATATCCGATTTTGAACATCTATGATTGAACCAAAACAAATACAGACTGACTTAGCCTTTGTTTGTTTTCACTGTTCCACCTCTTCAAACCTTTTATGTCTGCGCCGTGCAGACCACACGCAGATATTAGGCTTCGCAGACCGTTTGTTTTTTAGAAGACAGAAGCTCTTCTAACGTCTGTGCGAGCTCTTCTTGGTGCAGACATGATTTTATGTCTTCAAAGGTCTTCAAACCTCTTCAAGAACAATTATAAAATATGATTATTTATTAAAATAATTTTAAATAATTTAATAAGATTATTTATTTTTAAATAATTTATTATAAAATATGGATTGATTTATTTTAAAATATTTTATTAGTATGGATTGATTTATTTTAAAATATGGATTGATTTATTTTAAATAATTTATTAGTATGGATTGATATATTTTAAAATATGGATTGATTTATTTTAAATAATTTATTAGTATGGATTGATTTATTATTGTAGTTGTATGGATTGATTTATTTTAAATAATTTATTAGTATAGATTGATTTATTTTAAAATATATATTGATTTATTTTAAATAATTTATTAGTATGGATTGATTTATTTTAAAATATGGATTGATTTATTATTGTAGTTGTATGGATTGATTTATTTTAAATAATTTATTAGTATAGATTGATTTATTTTAAAATATGGATTCATTTATTATTGTAGTTGTATGGATTGATTTATTTTAAATAATTTATTAGTATGTATTGATTTATTTTAAAATATGGATTGATTTATTTTAAATAATTTATTAGTATCGATTGATTTATTTTAAAATATTGATTGATTTATTATTGTAGTTGTATGGATTGATTTATTTTAAATAATTTATTAGTATGGATTGATTTATTTTAAAATATAGATTGATTTATTTTAAATAATTTATTAGTATGAATCGATTTATTTTAAAATATGAATTGATTTATTATTGTAGTTGTATAGATTAATTTATTTTAAATAATTTATTAGTATGGATTGATTTATTTTAAAATCTGGATTGATTTATTTTAAATAATTTATTATTGTAGTTGTATGGATTATTTAAATTTCAGTATTATAAAACTAAAATTATTTAAATCTTAGTATTACAAAACTCTTTTAAATTTAAAAAATCAGTTTATTTATATTTCAGTTCATTTTAACAGTCTGCAAATGTTAAAAAAACAAACAGTCTTCTTCTTGCAGACTGTAGACTTTTGATCTAACTCTTCTGCTGTAAATGTCTGCAGATGTGATCCGTAGACTGAAGACTTTTTATCTCTACAAAAACAAACAACCCCTTAGCGATGCATCCAGTTCTGTACTTTTAGATCCAAAGGCTGTAATAAAAAGTAATCAGATCAAAACTGGAACCGTTTTAGCCATGCAAAGCATGATATCACCGTCCATCATAAATAGTAACTAAAAGGAGGTTATTCACATAAGCACGCAATTTCAACAGTGTAATTTAGTTTCCTCGCGCGTCGTACTTTTATAGCTTCGAAAATCGCAATGGCATTTCAAATTAACGTTACAAAATCAGTTCTCACAAAGAAACAATGATTTTCTCGTGAATCCTTTTTCCTCACAATAATCTCGCTTCGCTTTTCAGCAATGGAGTTTTCAGGAAAATCCAAGGTAATGTATGTACTTGCGATTTTGCAGTCCTGTCAGTATTTTTTTTCCAGAAAACTGTCAAAACACTGATATTTTCTTGCTTTATTTAGGTGCTGTTGGGGAAGTTCATCTCGGCAATATTTTTATGGGAATTACTGAGATCAAACGTAGTAGAATGTGGAGCTGTGGGGCTTCCGACGAATAGCATCACGTTTTCGGCGCTAAATTGTCGCAAACACAGCGCGGTTTTGACGGATTTTGGCGGGATCGGCGATGGAAAAACTTCCAACACGAAGGCGTTCAAAGCTGCGATTACGAATCTTAGCCATGTTGCGGCGGACGGTGGCGCACAGCTCATTGTGCCGCCAGGGAAGTGGCTAACTGGGAGCTTTAATCTCACCAGCCATTTCACGCTTTTTGTCCATAAAGATGCTGTTATTCTTGGATCTCAGGTACAATTTCCGTCCTCCAATTCTCGCTCACTCAACTCTGGACTTTGCTACGATTAAAGTTTCATCTTAAGTTTCATTTTTTGTCATCGGTACTAATAATTAAAATTTCTGTTTAATTTAATATTTAAGTTAATTTAGATTTCGACTCAATTATTAATTATATATTTGCTTTTATTTCAAGTACAATGAACATTTTTGAAAGATGCTTTTATCTTTACATTATAGTATAAATATTTAAATAAAACTATTAAGATTTATCATCTAATAATATTTGAAAGATTTAAAGATAATTTAATTTTTACAAATTACTTTAACAAATCATTTCTGATTAAAAAAATAGTTATTAATTACACTCATATGTGCTTTTTTAAAAATGTATATTATTAAAGGATTATTTTTTTATGTGATATAGATTATATAATATAGGTGAAAATAAAATAATCTCATCCAAGATAAAAAAAGGGTTGTTCTGAACTTAATCGTTGGAACATAAACTCAACTCATATGGTTGAAAGGATTTATTTCTATATTTATTATTAAATCCAACATAAGTTTTTAAGCTCTCTCGAATATTGGATTACACTTATCTTAGATGAGTAATCTAAGCCTCTAATTAGGGAAGGACACGAATTTTATGTTATGTTAGTGGACTTGAACTTTTTAAATTTTAGGTGGCGACCCGTTCGTCTCGGTCCATCTCTACCTTAAGATGGTTCTACTACCAATTGTTGACATTTCACCTTCCAACTTTTCTAGTTGTTCACTTTTTCTTTTGAACCTTTGACGAAATTGCTCGTTTCTGGTTTAAAATAGTAACTACTACTTGAATTTTCTGACTTGTGCACATGAACTGTTGTATATGATGCTGTGCATATACCGGTTTTTCTTTCGGTTAGGTCATAAAGTTATCTGCCAATTCTATTAGTCAAAACACTTTAGGCCATTGCTACCTAACATCCTATACAAAAGTGCGAGTAGAATACCAAACTTTAGATAAACTACCAACTACTTAATGACCATAATGTTTCATGCTCTTATAGTTTCTGGGGCTTGGTGATGTTTTGAATTTGGTTGGTTTTAGTTTTTGAATTTTTTTTGACTTGACTTATACGATGTAGGTTAAAGTAAATAAATCATATAGACAAAAAAATACATTCGAATAACAAAAATTAAATATATATTACTTAAGTATGATATAAAGGCTTTAAAAAAATTGGCATATCAAATTTAATAGCTATTTCTTGTGTCAACCAAAATTTAAAAGTAGGACTAACAATGACAAATTAGAGTTTAGGGATTAAACCTGTAATTTATGTATAGTAAAGGGACTAACATAATGTATATTAAAGTAGCATAATGGCGATGGTCATGAATCTTGTTTGATGTTTACCTAATCTTTGAAAACGAAAAAACAGGATGAATCAGAATGGCCTCCTGTTGCTCTTCTGCCATCATACGGGCTGGGAAGAGATGCCCCTGGTGGAAGGCTCAGCAGTCTTATTTTCGGCACCAACCTCACAGATGTTGTCATTACAGGTAACCAAAACACTATCTCACCTTAAATATCCATACATGCTGAATCGTATCGAATCGATTGAATTAAATGGGGGAGTTTATATGACTTGTAACGAAAGGTAATAACGGCACCATCGACGGCCAAGGTGCATACTGGTGGAAGCAGTTCAAGGAGAGCAAAATGACTGTAACCAGACCCTACATGATTGAAATTATGTATTCGAAACAGGTTCAGATATCGAATCTAACGTTGGTTAACTCGCCGTCATGGAATGTTCATCCTGTATACAGCAGGTTGGTTTAGTCTCTAATAAACACTTCATTATCCCCATGAAATCAAATCAAAACATTTGATTGAATGTTGAATTTCGCAGTGATATAATCATCCAACACTTGACTGTTCTTGCACCGGTTGATTCTCCTAATACAGATGGAATAGACCCAGGTTTGGTTTTTTGTACTCAGCGGCTACAGTTCTGTCATTAGTTGATATGAGCCCTTGATGGTGCTATTTGTTTTATTTCTAGATTCATGTACGAACACTCGAATCGAAGACAGTTTTGTTGTCTCCGGAGACGACTGCATTGCCGTTAAAAGCGGATGGGATGAATACGGTATCAAATTCAACATGCCAACCAAGCAACTCGTGATCAGAAGGTTCACCTGCATTTCCCCTAGCAGCGCCGCCATTGCTCTCGGGAGCGAGATGTCCGGTGGGATCAAAGACGTAAGAGCCGAAGACATTACAGCGATCAATACAGAATCCGGTGTGAGGATCAAAACTGGAGTGGGAAGAGGAGCTTACGTCAAAAGCATTTACGTCAGAAACATGACATTGAATACAATGAAGTACGTGTTCTGGATGACGGGTGATTATGGATCGCATCCAGGTGACAAGTTCGATCCGAATGCTTTCCCCGTAATCAAAGGAATCAATTACAGGGACATTGTGGCAGATAATGTCACACGGTCGGCACAACTGGATGGAATCGGAAGACATCCTTTCACCGATATTTGCATTTCCAATGTCGACATCAAACTGACCGCAAAACCAAAAGAAGTGCAATGGAACTGCACCGAGGTTCAGGGAGTTACCAACCGTGTGAGCCCCGCACCATGTGGTTTGTTGCCTCGAAAGGAAATCGAGTGTCCCTTCCCTAAGGACAGGCTGCCCATCGAAGATGTCGAGTTGAAGACTTGTTCTATCAGCGGCAACTTCTAATAACCATTTAATTTACTTTATCCTTGCTGCTTATAATGGAGACCTAATATGTTATATATATATATATATATTATACAGGTATGGTGTAAAAGACTGTTCGGACGAGTGTTTAAATGTGTGGAATTCGAATATATATATATATTCGTATGTTAAAAAGAATCATATTTTATACTTATGTGCTGTATATTCAAATTTAATAAGATAAAATGTAATAAATATCACTAAATTATGCTTAAATAATTATTTTAATCTTCAAAATTTGAAATTTATAAAATAGACATTAAATTTACCAAATCAGTACAAAATAATCATTTTCATGTTATAATAATTATAAAATAAATAAATTTTAAGAATAATTTGATAAATTTAATTATATATGCAAAATGATTTAATAAATTTAATAATTATTTTAGAATTTTTAAAAAATTATTAACAAAAAATAGTTTAATATTTTAACTTTGATCAATTTAATATATTACCACGTGCAAAGTCCACGTCATAGAAATTTGTTCGGCTCCTTCGGAACACGAGGCAATGGCGGACGTGCAGATGGCTGACGCGGAGACATTCGCCTTCCAGGCCGAGATCAACCAGCTCCTGAGCTTGATCGTCAATACCTTTTACAGTAACAAGGAGATTTTCCTTCGTGAGCTTATTAGCAATGCCTCTGATGTACGTATTCGTCGTCTCTGTTACTGCTTTTTTGAAAATTTGAAGGAAAAAAATATATATGCTTAAGGTTTAGATTGTGGTTATTGGCCTAGTAGTTAGCTCTTCCGTAGACGTTTTGCTGTTGAATGATGATCTCTGTGGCTAGAAGATCAATTTATTGTTTTAATGTTAGGGTGATTTTAAATCGAGCGGATTTGTTTTTGAATTTTGTAGCAAGCAAGAAACATTTGAAGTTTTTCGTTTAGAAAATTTTCAGTCGTTTTGCTTGCTTTTTGAATGAGAATGCCTGATTAATTTGGTTATGTTGTGTTGCAGGCTTTGGATAAGATCCGATTCGAGAGCCTGGCTGATAAGAGCAAGTTAGATGATCAACCAGAGCTTTTCATTAGGCTTGTGCCGGACAAGATCAACAAGACCCTCTCCATCATTGACAGTGGCATTGGCATGATTAAAGCAGATAATGCCAGCTTAGATGTGGTCGAAATTGCTTGAAATGATGTCATTTGTATTGACATAGCTTCTTAATTGCGTTGCTGTCTGTAAATTCAGATTTGGTGAACAACTTGGGTACAATTGCAAGGTCTGGAACGCACTGCAAGCCGGAGCCGACGTGAGCATGATCGGACAATTCGGTGTTGGTTTCTACTCTGCTTACCTCGTTGCTGAGAATGTCATTGTGACCACCAAGTACAATGATGACGAGCAGTACATTTGGGAGTCCCAAGCTTGTGGTTCCTTCACTGTCACCAGAGATGTCGATGGAGAGCAACTCGGTAGGGGTACTAAGATTACTCTCTTCCTTAAGGAAGATTAGGTAAATATTTCGCTTGTTTCCGACTAAACTTTATAAGAATTAATCTGTATGATCTCGGAATTTGAATTGTTGTTTGCTGATTGTATTTGCAGTTAGAGTACTTGGAGGAGAGGAGGATCAAGGATCTAGTGAAGAAGCACTCCGAGTTTATTAGCTATCCAATATACCTCTGGACCGAGAAGACAACCAAGAAAAAGATCAGCGACGATGAAGATGACGAACCCAAGAAAGATGAGGAAGGAAATGTTGAAGATGTCGATGAGGAGGAGAACAAATCGAAGAAGAAGAAGATCATGGAAGTGTCTCATGAGTGGCAACTAATCAACAAGCAGAAACCGATCTGGTTGCGTAAGCCAGAGGAGATCACTAAAGAGGAGTATGCCTCTTTCCACAGGAGCTTGACCAATGATTGGGAGGAACATCTTGCCTCCGTCGAAGGACAGCTCGAGTTCAAGGCCATTCTCTTTGTACCGAAGCGGGCTCCGTTTGATCGCTTCGACACTAGGAAGAAGATGAACAACATCAAGCTTTATGTTAGGAGGGTGTTCATTATGGACAATTGCGAGGAGCTTATCCCCCAGTACCTTGGATTCGTGAAAGGCGTAGTCGACTCGGATGACTTGCCACTCAACATCTCTCGTGAGATGTTACAACAGAACAAGATTTTGAAGGTGATTAGGAAGAACATTGTGAAAAAGTGCATTGAGATGTTCAATGAGATCGCCGAGAACAAGGACTACAACAAATTCTACGAGTCTTTTTCGGAGAACCTGAAATTGGGTATTCATGAAGACAGCCAAAACAGGGCTAAGCTAGCCCACCTTCTCCGATACCACTCGACCAAGAGTGGCGATGAGTTGACAAGCTTGAAGGACTATGTCACTAGAATGAAGGAGGGGCAGAAAGATATTTATTACAACACTGGTTAAAGCAAGAAGGCAGTGGAGAATTCCCCGTTCTTGGAGAAACTGAAGAAGAAAGGATACGAAGTTCTTTTCATGGTGGATGCCATTGATGAGTATGCGGTTGGGCAGTTAAAGGAATACGATGGCAAGAAGCTCGTCTCCGCCACGAAGGAAGGTCTGAAGCTTGAAGACGAAACCGAGGAAGAGAAAAAGAAAATGGAGGAGGAGAAGAAGTCTTTCGAGGATCTGCGCAAGACAATTAAGGATATCTTAGGAGACGAAAGTGAAGGTTGTAGTCTCCGACAGGATCGTCGATTCGCCTTGTTGCCTGGTTACCGGAGAGTACGGGTGGAGTGCTAACATGGAAAGGATCATGAAAGCGCAGGCACTGAGGATAACAGCATGAGTTCTTACATGTCCAGCTAGAAGACTGTGGAAATCAATCCCGACAATGGAATCATGGAAGAGCTGAGGGAGAGAGCTGAAGCTGATAAGAACGATAAGTCGGTCAAGGATCTCGTGCTGTTGCTGTTTGAGACGGCGCTTTTGACATCTGGGTTCAGCCTGGACGATCCCAACACATCCGCAGCTAGAATCCGTAGAATGCTGAAACTGGGTCTGAGCATTCGATGAGGATGAAACCGGTGGTGATCATGCCGACATGCCTGCTCTCGAGGAAGATGAAGCCGAGGGAAGCAAGATGGAGGAGGTTGATTGAAATTATAAGAAAAGTTTAGCTCAAGTTTCTTTATGCCGGTGAAGTGGAGTCCGTAAGGCGGTGGATTCTGTGAGGCTTACCCGTCTCCTTGTCTTCTCTGTTTCCGTCATCTATTTCGCCATTCATAAAATCAAATGTCTTGAGGTCTCAATAGGTTGTCTAAATATTAAGTGTCAAAATATTACTCAGTCTGTTCATTTTCTCTAGTGTTCTTGGTAATGATCTAAAAGTATAGTGATTTTCAAATTTTGTTATATGAACCGTGGTTAAATCAAGAACAAGCGTTGGGATGCGACCACGTACAGCACCGGGCGAAGTTAATGATCCCACTACCGAGAACCCAGAATCAAGAAACAACAGGGTAAACAAAACCGGATAAAAATGGTGAATACATGAGAAACGAATTATGTTCTTTCAGTCATGGGGCCACCGGCAATCCCAACAAACAGCAAAAGCCGAATGATAATATCAAAGGAAGGAGGAGGAATGGATTGTAAGGCCCGATGTCGGCGATCAGTCAAGCCGTCATCGGAAGGGGAACCGAAGGCGAAGGCGAATCCAGAAAGGAAATTATAAATACAATAGTAGATACCATATAAATGTTTATTTTAACATATCTCAAATAAATTAGCTGACCCTATTCCCATATGTAATGGGGTAAGAGGAGGTAGGGTAGTAGGTTGCTCCAACATCAGGTTGAGAGCAGCTTCTGTGGAAGACTTCCTTTATGAATTACCCTAAATGGGACTCGATCCCACGACTACAAGACTAAGAACCTTGTGCTCCATCAACTGAGCTATACGGACAATTAAATGTATAGAATGTATTCAAGTCTTAATCATAATAAACTTGTATAGAATTACTAATGAAATTAACTGCAAAATTGAAAATACGCTACAAAGTAATTCTAAAAATTTGACTTTTTCCCATCCACCGAACACTTAAATCCCACTTGTGTAATCTATAAAAGTATCATTTGAATGTCATTTGATATATTTAAATAATTTTAAATCTTAAATTTCAAATAAAACAGAAGATAAAGTCACATTTAATACTTAAACTATCAATTTTATCTATTTTAATATCTAAATTTTTATTTTTTATTTCATTTCAATACTTCAATCCAAACTTTAACGTTAAATTTTTGTAATAAAGTTTGAAAATTTAAGTAGTAAAACAGATCAAAACAGATAATTTTGGTGTTAAACGCATTAATCTTTTAACGACGGGTACTAAAATGAAACAAACGCTAAATGTTAAGTATGATTTTGAAAAAATTAAAAATTTAAATACTAAAACAGACAATAAATAATAGTTTAAATACTAAATGCGTAGTTTACCCTAATATATATACAATATAATCCCATTTGTAGAATATCTTTTATATAAGTGGATGAAACAATAATCCTAAAACATTTGTCACCATTTTAAAAACATATATTTGTATATAACAATAATCCTAACCGACATATGAAGAAACATATACTTCAATGCATATAACAAAAATGTCATCCCATTTGTCTCCTTCAGTTAGGGGTGTAAACGAGCCGAGTCGAGCTCGAGTATTGCTGAGCTCGACTCGAAAATTCTGAAATGAAGCTCGACTCGAACTCGAAATCCTGAACTGAAGCTCGTGAGTAGTTCGAAAAGGCTCGAAATGAAAAAAAATCTTAAATTTAACTAGATTGAAGCCTCAAACTCAAACCTGAATCTTAAATATATAAAAGTCTTACTGTATTTTTTTAAAAAAAAATCAACACTTAAATGTTAATATTATTAATAATTTATTTTTTTTAAAATAAAATCTTAATATATTATATTTTCGAACTGCTCACGAGCTTTTCGAGTCGAGTATCAAACAGCTCGTTTCGGCTCATTAAGAATTCGAGTCCAGCTCGAATCGAGTTCATTTGATCCGAGTATTTATCGAACCTTGACCGAGTTGATCTCGAGTAACTCGCGATCTGTCTCGTCTCATTTACAACCATATCTTCAATTCTCCATTACAAATCAATCCTACTTTCAATTAATACATATAAAACAGTTAAAAAAATATTTCAGAAATTTCAAATTTAGCAATAAATTAGCCTTCAACATCAAATTCAAGTGAAATCTTTGAAACTGACACTCGAGCAATCAACAACCGCAAATCCGCAATCAATTTCCAAAAGAAAAAGACAGGCAAAACCCTAATTTAAAAGAGAACCAGAAAATTTTCGTATAACTAATTAGATAGAAAAAATGGTTTTAGAATTTACAGCTAGAGAGCCTCGAGGAACTTGTCGTGTTTGGGTTAAAAATTCGAGTTAAATTTAAGTTCGAATTAAATTCATTTAATTTAATTATTAATCGAATCTATCTTAAATAACTTACGAAGTGTAGCATAGTAGAGATCTTGGAAGAGTCGGTCCTAAGGTGAAAAGGATAGGTAAAGAGGCGGCTGTTTTCACTAAATTACACGTGGCAGAAACAAGAAGCTAGGAAACCCGAGATGTGCGGTGAAGATGAAATCCGATAACTCTAAGTGGTCAGCAAACACCACCACATGATATGACAGCAAGCAGAAGATATTTAAGTGTGGGTCCCTGCATAAACTTGTCGTGTTCTTGTGTTTTGTTTCTGTTTTTTTTAGACATCTTTGGTTCACCCCGTTTGTCTTTCCATGATTGTGATAGAACTTGGACCGGTTTTCATTTCGTCAGATTGGATAAGCCCGACATTAGATTTCGCTTTGCAGTTTGTTTTGCTAGTATCTTCTGCTAGTCATGTTTGTGTATAAAGAATATCTCTTGTTCTTTATATCTAATGGAACGGTGGCAAGAATTAAGTGGCCTTGATCATAAATAAATTATTGTTATTTTTTAAAGTATCGCATTTGATCATTAAGAGTATCAAAAGTATAAACGTTTAATGTCAAATACTGAGTTATTTATAAATAAATATTATTTTTACTTATCTCATATTAATAGAAAACTAACGAAGGGATGTTGTTTCATTTCATGGAGATTCTAAAATCGAATTAGGTTAAAAAGAAAAAAAGAAACTCAAATTATTTTTTATTTATGTTTACGCGTTTTACGCGTATGAGTTTTTTTTTGGTTAAAATAGGTATAAAGGGTTGTTTAGCTGCTCGTTCTATCAGAAACTATCAACTTCTCAGCTTCCTTGGGAGAGTTCTGCAACAATATTTTATCCCCCTGATATCTCCATATCTGTTTGGTAATTATGTCCGCTGCTCGATTGGCTTCTTTAGGTATGTGCTTTAATTCAACCATCCATTTTCTCTTTAGTAGCCTCTCTATATGCTGAAGAATAGTTAGCTTTCTGTGTTCAGTCGACTTGTTTTTGATGAGGTTTATGGCTTCTCTGTTGTCAGATTCCAAAATCACATTCCTCTCTCCCTTCGTCCATGCAACATTTAACCCCTCATGAATGCCCAAAAGTTATGCTTCCAAGATGGAGCAAATCCCAATTTTCTTACCAAAACCCCAGATCCAATTTCCGTTATGATCTCTTGCAATTCCCCTGCACACATCTTCTCCCGTATTTTGTCGTTTAGCTTCGTCTGTATTAATCTTACAGTAGTCTCTGTTTGGTTTTTGCCATTTGTAGTGCTTGCTATTTCTGCTTTTGATATTTTCATTCTTAGCAATTCCTATATTCTGAATATCATGGGATAGTCTTATGGTTTGTTGAATAATGGAATCTCTTTTAATCATTTATGGGTCGAAAATAACCTGGTTTCTTCTTTTCCACATGTACCAGATAACAGAGCTGAAGAAGGTAGGCCAATTCTCGATCCTTGGCGAAGGGATTTGCTTGTTTCAATGTTCTCGATGATCCACTCCTTTATGTTGGTATTCAGGAACTTATCCATTTTCTGGGTACCCAGCAATTCAATCCATATCACCATGACTTTTGGACATAATCTCAGCATGTGGTTTATATCTTCTGCTTCATAATTGCACATAGGGCATCTTTCATCCGTTGTCATATGCCTACGAGCTCTTTCCAGGTTGGTCAGTAATCTGTCGTTTCCTATAAGCCATAGGAAAGTTTTAATTATGGGGATGCTATTATGCTTGGCAATGGTGCACCAGATCTTCTCCTCACTGGCATTGATATTTGCAATCTTCTTATATGCATATTTGAGTTTACGTGTACGAGTTAATAAAATATTAATTTCATTTGTGAAAAGTATGAGAAATTATGTGTTCAAATATTAATTTCATTTGCAATCTTCTTATACGCCATTATTCGAGTAATTTCATTCGAGGAACTAAATAAAATAGTACTTTATAGTCGGGGGATCATTTGTGTTATTTACCCTAATATAACTGTATATTATTAATAAATCAATTGATGATGATAATTACGTGATTTTAAAACTTAAATCAGCTGTTAACATTATTAAATTACCATTACAACTATTTGATTCAAATTTATTTCTTAAAATAAATTTGAATCTAAAATCTTAAAGCTTTTAAGACTTACGATTTATTATAATTTCAATAGCGATAAGTTTCAATATTAAAAAAATTGTTTTCTTCTTTCAGTTTATTTATTAAACGAATTCTGCCTTATATTTTCAAATTATATTAAACAAAATTCAAATTACAATTCTTAATATCGAATAAAATTAATTACCTTGCACTATTTCAAATGACACCTTTCCATCGGATTTCCATCTCACACTTGACTAAGAAAATAACAGTCCTAAGTTGCCTTTGTTTTCAACCGAAGGGCGAGAAAATTGTTTAGCAATTGCAGAGAAGCACAACCACAGATAAAAACAAAAATGATTGGGGGACCTGATAGAACCTAAACGATGGGTTTTAGTCTATTTTAGTATTTAAATTTTTAATTTTTTTAAAATTATATATAATGTTTAATTTTTATTTCATTTTAGTATCCACTCTTTAAACTTTAATGCACTTAGTACCTAAACTATTAGTTTTGATCAATTTTAATATATGAACTTTCAAATTTATTCAAAAATTAACCTTACAATTTTAACACGGGCACTAAAATGAAACAAAAACTAAACTTTAGATATGATTTTGAAAGAATTGAAAGTTCAGATAATAAAATTGACTAAAATTGATAGTTTAATTACTAAACGTGTACATTACGAGAAATTATTTCATGGACTCGACTCACCACGCCATTCATGATCTCAGTGAATGACAACCACAAATTTCAAAAAAACCACACACCTTTTATTTTCATAAGGGAAAGAGATGAAAATTTACCTTGATAAAAAAATGACATGAACAAATATTATTGGTTATGACCATAAATGACGATGTAATTCAGGACCATCTAATAATTTCTCTTACCTTTTTTTTGATAACGTAGGACCTCCCAAGGTCAGACTAAAGAACCCGACCCTACAAGGCAACTTCCGGATGGACTCAAAGAACCCACCACTTTGTACTCCGCTTTTTTTAAGATTCCCAACCAACGCAGTTCAAACCTAGAACATAAAACCAACTCATAATCTCAAGAGCACTTGCTTTGCCAACTGGATCACGCCTGCCGTAGTAATTTCTCTTACTTTGCCTTAAAAATAATGTAAATTAATAACCTTGGTGGGACCCCGAAACCAATCCTAGTTCATTCACTTGCCCAAGCTCAACAATAATAATCGAAGAAATAACACGTCCATTTCCACACTGCTAAATCACAGTGGTCCCCACTTGACCGAGTCAATTTAAATGTTTCTAAAAGTTTGGATTAAGTACACTAAAGGTCCCTAAACTATGATCAGATGGTCATTTTTGTCACTTAACTTTCAAAAATTGTAAATAATCATTAAAAAATATAACAATTGATATGATTAAACGATTTCAACATTTGCTAACTATCATGTCAGTAATTTAACGATCAACGTCAACTAATTCATAAAATTAATATAATTAAATGAGTTTAAGGATAAATTTGGCATAACCAAAAAATAGGAAAAAATATTAATTTGAGTTTACTACAAAAATAAAATAACCCCTTAAACCAACATTTTATGAAAATATAATACATTTTATGATCATTATATAAATTTTAAAAACGTGATGGCAAAAATGATAATTGCATTATAATATAACGACCTTAGGAATTTTTCTCTCTCGAAATTTCCCCACCCACAATCTTTACAATGTGAACTTCAGTTAAACTTTTCCAAAATGATTGATTAATGAGTTATCGTCGACGTACCTTCCACGAACCTGAAAGTCGTTTGCCAAAAAAAAACCTTTTTTGATAAAAAAAAAGGGAGGCAAACAGTAACTTGACTTAAGTTGACTTGAATCGCTATAAATTTCATAAGCTTTCAGCTTTCCTTCAAAGCCAAAGCTATTACAGCACCTTCTTCTTCTTCTAATTTCCTCCCTTTCTTCCCCATCTCGTTTCCCCAGTTTTGCTACACAGAGTATTCCCATAGCTCTAAAATGAAGGTTTTATATATATATATATATATACACACATATACATATATAGTGCTTTTAGACTTTGGAGTCTTGCTTTGATCGAGTTATTAACAGAAACTGGTTTTGTTTTTTGACAGAAGGTTGTGTTGAAATTGGATTTTCACGACAACAAATGCAAACAGAAAGCCATGACGATAGCCTCTGGTGTATCGGGTATTGTATTTTCATAATCAAATAATTAACTTCGAAATTGAATTGGGTCGAATTTTATTTCGAAAACGAGCTTTCTCAAATCTTAATATTATTATTTTCATTTATCAGACTAGAAATTAAAAAAATGAAGTAGTTTATTTTATTGGCAGGGGTTGAATCAGTTGCCATGGACAAGGATCAAAAGCTAACGTTGACAGGGGACATTGATCCGGTGGAGGCAGCGAAGAAACTGAGGAAGAAGCTATGTCACACCGAAATAGTCTCCGTCGGGCCGGCGAAAGAGCCGGAGAAGAAGAAAGAAGAGCCGTAGAAAGAGGAAAAGAAGGACGATCCTAAGAAAAAACAGCCGAAAGAGGCTACAATGACCTACCCCTACCCTCCGATCGCCCAATTCTACCCTCCGGTTCCCTACTGTTACGCTTAGGGGGTGTTTGGTTCAAGGAATGTGATGGGAATCCCACATTCCTATGTTTGGTTGGCCGGGAATCTCATTCCCGGTAATGTTTTATTACCAATAGTAGATTTTTTGGGGTATATTATCGAGAGTGTCATTACCTCCCTTCCCTTAGGTATTGTAACATTACCGGCGTTTTGGACTAAAATGCCCTTAAATTTTTATTTTTTTTCAAAAATATCCTTCTTCTGTCATTAAATAATAAAAATTTCACGAATGTTAAATTAAAAATTTATCCTTAAATTATTTTAGATTTACAAAAAAAGTTTATAATTAAAATTTTATATGAAGTTTAGGGGTTAAATTTTTTTTACCCTTTCATTAAACATTTTTTATATTTTTAATTTTGTAAAAAAATTATATAAATATTATGAATTTAATTTTTTAAAGAAAATATATAAATATTTTACAATTTGTAATATTATACAAATATATAATAAGGACAATTTGGTCAAATATACATTCCAATAATCTTTTATTCATTTGACCAAACACTGTAAAACCTTTGAGGAACATCCAGCTGGTTGCGTTATCTGCTAAATTTTTGCTCATATATATAATTCCAAAGAAAAAAAATTACACAATAAAAAAAATTAAAAACAAGGTGATATGTTAATAAAAAAATTAATATTTAAGTTAACCCTCAACTAATACTAAATTAAACAATAAAAGCAGTAGTTTTCATGTGTGTGTTTTTTGGTACTTGAAAGTTTAGGTCAAGTGACTCTCTCAGTCCAGGGTCATGGTATATCTAAAACTCAATTGAGATTTATATAGGACTTTATAGATTATCCATCAAGAGTGACGGTGGTGAAATTCGAACTTAACCTTACAAATTTAAATTTCTGAATCTAACCACTTGTACTATCAATCATTGGCGTAGTTTCCATGTGTTTGATGGATCATGAATGATTTGGAATCCGTATTCAATCCTTTAAAATTGACGGATCTGTCAACTAAAAAGTAATGCATAGAGAATTATATTTTATATACGCTTATTTGTTTATATTTTAATTACTTTTTATGTATTACATCATGAGTTCAGATTCAAAACTAAATTAATTTTAAAATATTATTACATCATAATTGACGCTTATATAATTTTTTAGATAAAGAAATTTCAAAACAAAATATTTTAGAATCAAAATTGTTTGTCATATAATATTAGTTGATCAGATATATATAAATATGGAAGAAAGCGAAGTTAAATTTTAGGGTAAATCACATATTTAGTATATAAATTATTAATTTAACCCTTAATATTTATATATTCTAATCCTTAATATTTATATATTCTATTAATTTATTTTTAATTTAAATTTAATTTAATAAATTAATCATTCAATCTAGATTTGACATGTGTCGACATATAATTATGACATATTTCATTAATAGCACATGTCACTATCTAATTTGATTTTTTATTTTAATTTTATTTTTAATTAAATAATTTTTTTATCCAATTGAATGATGACATATGTAATCTTTAGTCGAAAAGGAGAACGGATAAAGTTAAAATACATTCGTGGGGGTTAAACTTAGGACTCATGGGAGGAGAACAAAGCCTTTTCCACATAGCCAAATGTCTCATTTGGGTTAAAAGCTTAACACCAACATTAAATTATTTCTTAACATTATTAATGATATAAAGATAAATAAATAAAAATATTCGAATGATATTTAACTTTAAATAAATTTATATTTTTAAACAAAACAAGTTTAATATTTCTATAATTTTCATGGTTATCAAAACCGGATCGGATCGACCAGTTCAACCGGTTGAATCGTGAACTAGTGCCCTGTCCGGTCCGGTTAACTTCCAAAACCAATTTTGCAATGAATCGGCTGAGAACCGGTAGAACCGACTGAGAACCGGCAAAACCGACTGAGAACCTACTGAGAACCGGCAAAACCGGTTTGAACCGCCGGTTCTATTTTTTTCTTTTTAAAAAAATCAAATCAAACGACGTCGTTTGTTAAACGAGCCGAGTCGAACTCAAGTATTGTTGAGCTTGACTCGAACATGAAAACTTTAAAAATAAGTTTAACTCGACTCAAAAACTCACGAGCTAAAAATTATCAAGTTCAACTCGAACTCAAAATATAATATTGAAACTTGAACTCGAAAAGGCTCGAACTCAAAAATATTTTAGAAGCTCGATTGAAGCATGAAATTCGAGCTCGATTGAAGCGAAATAATAGTTAGCTCCATGCTCACTAAAAGGCTCCATGATTTTGAATTCCAAATTACCTCTATTATTTATAGAAGTCAATTGGGATGCTCTTATATATTTCTTAGCCATGTGATATTGTTTTGTTCTCATATTTTTACTCTTTAGACTTTAGGGATGCTCTTCTATGTTTCTTAGTCATGTGGGATTGTTTTTATAAAAAAAATTAAACCAAACGACATCGTTTGTTATGATTTTTTTGCCCAAATTTATTTTTTGATTATAATTATATAATTATATTTATTATTTAATATGTTTTACCGTAAATATTATGTTGTAGTTAATTTAAACCATTTTGTTTCACTTGATTTTATGTTTTTAAACTTATATATGTTGTGACTTATGATATTTTTATACATTTTAATATTGTAAACTTAAAAAAGTGTTATATATATATATTAATATTGCTTTGAATATTATGTAAAATTTAAAAAAATATATTTTATATAAAATTCAATTCAAATAGATTGAACCACGATTGAACCAGTACCTTCACCGATTCAAGGTCCGGTTTGATTTTAAAAACATTGATAATTTTAAAGTAAATTTAATATTTTTAAATGAAATTTATGGAAAAATCAAGTAATATAAATATGTTATATTTTTAAACAAAACATTTTAATTGTTTTAGTTATCTTATGCTTTCTATTAGAACGTGTTTGTTTTAATTGTTTTAGTTATCTTTGTTTCTCTATCATTAATAATTTTAAGAAATAAATAAATGTTGGAGTAAAAATTAAACCAAATTTAAGTGTTTGGCTTAGTGGTTAAGACTTTGCTCTCCACCCATTGGCTCCTTCAAACCCTCATAAATTCATCTTAACTCTAGCCTATTTCCTTTTCATTCAAAGGTGACACGTGTTATCGTTTGGTTAGATAAAAAATTTATTTAATGAAATAAAAATTAAATTAATAAAAATAATTAAATTAGGTAGTGACATGTGTCACTAACAACACGTGTCATGATCATGATTAATGGTTAATTTATTAAATTAAATTTAAATTAGGATCAAACTAATAAAAATATATAAATATTAAGCACTAAATGTATAATTATACCAATTCTTTTAATTTCCACATCAGCATTTTTGTCAACTATTAACGGTTGGAGATTTAAGTGACAATAATTAAATAATTTGACGGTCTGATTGATAAAATTAAAAGATCGGTGGCAAAAGTAAGGACTAAATAGTTAGATGGTCAATGATATAATTTACCCAAATAAAATAACCCCTTAAACCCACATTTTATAATAGTTCAATAAATTTTATGGTCATTATATAAATTTAAAAAAATTTAATAACAAAAATGATCATTCATTATAACTTAATGACCTTATGTGTATTTTCTCTCGAAATTTCCCCACCACAATCATTTATAATTTGAATTTTAGTTTTTTTATTAATATAAGTTAAGGATAATGCCCTGTATATTTAAAAATAACTCTTAATCATTTAATATTAAATGTACATTATTAATATTCTTAATGTTCGAACAAAAAATCTTAATAAATAAATAATAATAATTATTTTATGTTCAAACAAAAGACCTTAATAAATAACAATAATTATTCTAACTACAAAGTCACTTAATTCGATAAATCTTTTTCAAAATGTTTTAATTCGGATGTCTCCTACGGAAGTTACTCTTAATCTAGTGTTGGGGACAGCCTACTATCTTACCCCCTTACCCCATTACATATGAGAACAAGGACGTAACTTCTAGGAACCGAGAAAGTAGTTGCCAACAAAACAAAAGCATTTTTTACCCCCCAAAATGAAAAGGGTAAACAGTAACTTGAGGTAAGCCGACTTGAATCGCTGTAAATTTCATAAGCTTTCAGCTTTCCTTCAAAGCCTAAGCTTTTACAGCACCTTCTACTTCTAATTTCCGCCCTTTCTCCCCCAATCTCATTTCCCCAGTTTTGCTACACAGAGTATCCCAGAGCTCTAAAATGAAGGTTAGATTTTAGCTAAACCTTTGGTTAAGTGGAGTTTAACTAAGCATAGATTGAATTATTGTGAAGAAAAAATAATGAGAGAAAAATAGAGATGAAATAAAAGCAGTACTTCACTGATTAACTAAGGCAAATAAATTTTAATATGTTTTTTCAACAGGTATTTATAACTCGACACTCCTAAGTAAATAAAATAAGTAATTATTAAACAAAATATAATAATAAAATAATATCTTAAATTAAAAAATTATCACAAAAGATAAAAGTAAATATTTAAGTATTGTAGTTCTAGTTGAATTTCTCTTCATCTTCTGGATAATGTTATCATAAGTAAATTCCAAATAAATATTTAAATCTTTTAATTCTGATTGAATTCATCTTCTAGATAATATTGATTATCGTCGAAATATGCTTATTTTTAGGCTAATTAACCCAATGAAACTTATGTCTAAAATAGAGCCAAAATGAAACAAATCAATAATATCCTAGCGACAATTAAATAGTAAATACTAATCAAAACATAAAATATTCAATGTTTACCAAATTTTATCATATCATAGTCAGTAGATTAATGTTTAATTTAGACAATTATATAATTTTTAACGAAAGAATGACAAATTAAAAATATATGAATAGTGAAATTACAATTTTATAACTTTTACTCAACAAAGTTACTTTATAATAGACAGTAAACCATTTATGTTCTACCTTTATTGAATAATAGCCTAGGTGGACCTGCAAACAATAGAACTTCATTCACATGTCCGGTTTATTGAAAAAAAAATTAGATGTGTTTGGTTTATCACGTTAAAACTAATAAAGTTTATCTACATTAATTTTTTTAAGATGAATCTTCAACTCTTTATTATACGTAAAAAAAAATGAATAGTTATTTAAAAGTTATTTTGAGATGAATCGACCTTATTAATAGAGATCACGAATGAGATTGTGAAGTTTATCAAATAATTTATAGGTTTATAGTGTGAAATAGTTAAATTTTGTTTTAGAAAAAGGTTGACTGTGTTATCGATGTTTTACACTATACTTTCCACGAACCTGAAAAGAGCAAACAGTAACTTGACTTAAGTTGACTTGAATCGCTATAAATTTCATAAGCTTCCAGCTTTCCTTCAAAGCCTAAGCTTTTACAGCACCTTCCTCTTCTAATTGCCTCTCTTTCGCCCCCATCTCGTTTCCCCACTTTCGCCTCAACGAGTATTCTCAGAGCTCTAAAATGAAGGTTATATATATATATACATATACATTGCTTTTATACTTTGGACTTTGGAGTCTTTCTTTGATCGAAATATTAACAGAATCTTTTTTTTTTTTTTTTTTACAGAAGGTTGTGTTGAAATTGGATTTTCACAACGACAGATGCAAACAGAAAGCCATGAAGAAAGCCTCTGGTGTCTCAGGTATTGTATTTTCATAACAATATAATTAATTTTGAAGTCGAATCGGGTCGAATTTTATTTCAAAAACAAGCTTGCTCAAATCTTAACATATATACTTTTTTCATTTACGAGACTCGGAATTGGAAAAAAAATGTAGTAGTTTATTTTATTGGCAGGGGTTGAATCAGTTGCCATGGACAAGGATCAAAAGCTAACGTTGACAGGGGACGTTGATCCGGTGGAGGCAGTGAAGAAACTGAAGAAGTTATGTCACACCTACATAGTCTCCGTCGGGCCGGCGAAAGAGCCGGAGAAGAAGAAAGAAGAGCCGAAGGAGGAAAAGAAGGAAGATCCTAAGAAAATCCAGCAGAAAGATCAGGTTATAGTAACCTACCCGTACCCGCCGATCGCCCAATGCTATCATCCGGTGCCCTGTTGTTATGTTTACGGTAAAAGCATCGAGGACGATCCAGTTGGTTGCGTTATCTGCTAAATAATTCATATATAAAATAGTTGTTGGAGTAAAGTTGATGAAGAAGACGATAAGCAATAAGTTTTTTATTAGGGTTTTCTTTTTATTATCCATTTTTTTTCTCTTTTTGCACGGCATGGTGGGTTTACTTAGTTTGGATTTTGCTGTGATTTTTCAAGCTCCAACCTATCATGTATTTTGATTTACATATTTAGTATTCTGGGTAAACTGCACTAATGTGTGGGTAATTTTATTTTATTTTATTAAAGCGTGAGAATTTATGTTATAATTATTAATGTTATTGATTTATAATAAAATATTACTATGTGGTTATTTTCTGTTAATTTTCCGATATCATATGTTAATGAAAATTAATATTTAATTTAACTCTTAAACTATTGTTAAATTAAACAATAAATATAGTAGTTTCCTCATGTGTTTGATGGCCCATGACTGATGTTAGACTCCATGTTCCTAGTCTTTAAAATTGCAGATCTGTCAACTAAAAAATAATACATAGAGAATTATTTTATATCTACAGCGACGCATCCAGAAATACTTTTCAGAGTGGACACATATAAGTTAGTAACATTAAATGTTTAAATGAAACGGGTAAGAATAAAATTTCATGGTGGATACCATTCGTAAAATAAGTAACTAATCAAAGAAAACTCAGATTTCATAACTGATTGAATAAAATTCGAATTTTAGGTCACATGATCAAGCCGTGGCTCGGCCACTGTATATATATTTGTTTATTTGTATTTCGATTACTTTTTTTATGTATTATATCATGAGTTAAGATTTAAAACCAAATTTAATTTAAAATTATATCATAACCGAAGCTTACTTAGTATTTAGATAAAAGATTTCCAAAAAATAATATTTTATAATTAAAATTGGTTGTCATGTATTGTTAGTTGATCAGATATAAATATGATGAAACCCTAATCCTGGATGATTGAAGAAAGTGAAGGTTAAATTAGATGTCACTGACTGACTCCTGTCTCTTGAGCCCATGTGACGAGGTACCATTTTTAATAATATCATCAAAGACGACGTAGTGACGTAAGAAGAGAAAGAGCAATATTCAACTTATGGATAATAAAATAAGGACCATTTGGTAAAAAATGAATTCCCAAAATTTAGAGTTGTTACTGAAATTCCCATAGTTTAATGACCAAAATAGAAATAATCTCAAAGTTTAATAATGAATAGCGTAGTTTACCCTAAAATAAGTTGAAACTAAAAATGAAAAGAATACTTTAATATCAAAAACTAATTATTTAAAGGCAAAAATGCATCAGAGGTCCCTATAATTTTAAAAAAAATCAATGTGACCTTGTATTTTTTTTATCTTAACGTAGTCCTCCAACTCAGAAAATAAACTCAATGTGAATCTTTGATCAATGACTTTTGTCGTTGACCGTTATGATATTGATGTGGCAGTTCGATTTACTGACATGGAGATCACGGTGCTGATGTGGCAACCAACGGTAGTTAATAACGTGATAGATGACATGAAGATAGGCTAAATTAGTAACTCAAGTATGGAAGATTGACTGCCACATCAGCATTGTTGATCGTCACATCAATATAATGAACTATCACTATAACACCGTGACGGTTAAAGAAGAAAAACGTTGATCAAAAGACTACATTAAATTTATTTTTTTAAATTAAAAGGTCACGTTAAGAAAAAAATAATACGAGAACGATATTAATTTTTTTTTAAATACAAGAATCCTTGTTTTTTTCGCCTTTTTTAAATGAATAAATGGAAATTGAATATTCAGGAATACTGCTTTCAAGCCGAGTAATTATTACCCAACTAAGAAAAGTAAGCTACTCGACCAGATCTTCCTCAAACACGTGATTGATAAAGACGGATGACCGGAAGACGAAATTGTTTAGCAATCGCAGTGGCAACTGATACAAAACAAACTTTAATTAATTAATTAATTAATTAACAGGATTATCATTATTTTAGATGTTAGTAACATGATAAATGTTTTCTAATTGGAGGGTGAACATAGATTAGTAGAGATTAAATCAATATAATACTTAAATATTAAGTAATTTTTTTTCCAGAATTATAATCCAATTGAATAAAATATAAATATTAAAAATTAAATATATTATTATTTTACATCATTGGACATATTTTTTTATTAATCCAAGTTAAGAACAAGACAGTATTTGTTTACAAATAACTCTTAATTTCTCGATATTGAACGCTCCCACCTTTAATATTCTTTATGCTACTGTGTTCAAATCTGAATCCTCAAAAAATAACAATAATTTATTTACGATAATATTATTTATTTTATTATTTATTTTAAATCAAATGATTTATTTATAACTTTTAATAATAATGAAACTTGACCCCACTTGACCGAGTCAGTCGGAACTCGTAAGGTTTAGTGAAACTTCCCCACCCACAGACTGCGTTTTAAATCGAAGTATCTTCCACGAACCTGAAAGTCGATTCCAAAAAGAAGGCTAACACGTATCTGTCTGACTTGACTTAGGTTGACTCGCCTCTATAAATTTCACAAGCTTCGCCATTTCCATCAAACCCAAAGCTTTTTACACTCCTTCCTCTTCCAACGATTTGGCCCTCTCATTTTCTCTCAAGTTTTTATACACAAAAGCTCCAAAATGAAGGTTAGATTTTACATCTTTTTGTTATTCTGCAAGTAATATACGTTGGCTTTTTAGAATTTGATCGGAATATTAACGGTGAGATGTTTTATTTTGTTTCCGGCAGAAAGTTGTGTTGAAATTGGATTTTCACGACGAGAAATGCAGACAGAAAGCCATGAAGACGGCCTCCGGTATTTCGGGTATGGTATTATTAACGAACTTGTTTTTTTAAGTTCGAAAGCCAGATCTTGAAGAAGAAAGAACCCAACTTTAATTGTTTTTGCAGGGATCGAATCGGTTGCCATGGACAAGGACCACAAACTGACGGTGACCGGAGACATTGATCCGGTGGCGGCGGTGAGGAAACTAAGGAAGCTATGTCACACCGAAATCGTTTCCGTCGGACCGGCGAAAGAGCCGGAGAAGAAGAAAGAAGAGCCCATGAAAGAGGAGAAGAAAGATGAGAAGAAGGACATACACCATCCACCCTACCCGTATACCTTCGTATATTACCCGCCGGTACCGGATTATTACACTCACGGTAAATACGTGGAAGAAGATCCCGCCGGTTGTGTTATCTGCTAAATTTTTTTAAAATTTGAGCTTATCAAGTTTTTTTTTTCTATACATATTACTTTCTTTTCGGAAATAATGTAAAATTTCAATTTTATATTTAATGCACAAATCATTGAATTAGTTTATATTATTTATCAATTTTATAGATAATAAAGTTTATTTTTAAAGTATATATTCATTTATATAATAATGACAATAAAAATAGAAACATTAACACTTTCAAATAATAAAGGGTAAATTATAAATTTCTTCACTTAATTTTACTCTCTCTCCTATTTTACTCATTAAACTTTAATTTTTTTTATTTTCTCACTAAACTTAATATATTGTGTATTTTTTTATCAGTGAACTTTATATTCACTCATTTTTTAATCACTCTGTCGTTAAATAGTTAATGACATTAAAAACGATGTCGTTTTAAAAAAAATTCATTAAAACGACGTCGTTTGCATCTATATAACGACTAATCTTAACACCGTTAATTATTAACGAACGAGTGACCAAAAAATCCGATGCATTAAGTTCAATAAGAAATTTGAAAAGATTTAAATTATAGTGACCGAAAGTAAAATTTAATTACTAAATTTGTAATTTACCCAATAATAAAATACAATAAACAACGCTAAATCTTCTGCCCCTTAAAAGTATCAGTATTAGCATCCATACACCATGAATAGAAAGGAGATAATATATCGAATAAATTAATATGTTTGTGATAAAAATATTTACATAAATAATGGGTTTGTCTTATTAACATTTTCATAAACTTAATGAAATAAATTACTATTAATTAAAATTATTATTCAATTTTTTTTAACATTGATAGTGAAATTTTAAATTTTCATAATACAAAAATAGAAAAGAGGAAAGTGTCGTTATCATCAATCATATCTCAACTCTCGCTGTGAAGTTAAAATATTTTAGTTTATTAATTTATTTACTTTTCAAAGTGTATGAGAGCTAAAATCCAAAATTTATATTTATCAAAACGAAATATATATTTCAATTTGAAAAAGATTGAAAATGCAGTCCTTGACTTAATATTGTTCATAACCCTTCAATTATTTCGGGAAATATAAAATTTCATTTGTTAAATAATCAATCTAATTTCTAATAATTAATATATTAATTAAAATTTATTTAATTATACAAAAATAGTATTACACATAATTTATTTTAGTTTTAAAAGCATGCTAGGGATTCGACCTTACCGGTTAACATCCAGGGTAATGAAATTACCCTCGAGACTAGCAAATAGTCTTGCTGATAAACCAAAAGTTTAGGTAGGTAGCTCCCAGTCCAGGATCAGGGTATATCTAAGACCCGATTATAGGATCAGGATATGTCTAAGACCCGATTAAGATTTACATAAAAATTTACAGATTTGTCATCAATAGTGACGATGGTAAGATTCAAACAAATTCAAATTCCTGAATCCCAACCGTTTGTACCATCGACTAGTAAATAGTCTTGATCTTTTAAGATGTTTTTCTAGTGAAGAAATATAATAAAAAAACTGTTAATTCAAACTTTATCAATAATTCTTATATTATGTTTAAATTATAGATTTAATTTTTATTGTTCAATTTATCATCTAAATTTCATAATCTTAAAAAATTATTAAATTAAAATTTAACGATTAAATTAAAAAAATATTTTATAAAAGTAATCTTTATTATTTATTAATAATACGATCTTAATCAAGCCGGTTCCCATCGTGGTCTTTTTTTCCCACACCACTTTTGTATTTTCGCAATCCTATAGCATGAACCCTTCTTCAATGTGTCCCGACCAATCCCTAGTCGTTATGCACCCAAAAGTTAAAAATAATAAATATATGGTCAATAATGGCATGCCATGCTCCTTCATTACAACCAAAATGTAAAACCGTGATATAATTATTAGGGTAAACTAAACATTTAATATATAAATTATCGGTTTTAGTTCGTTTTAGTACCTAAACTTTTATTTTTTTCAAAATCATACTTAACGTTTAGTCTTCATCTCATTTTAGTACCCATCGTTAAAAACTTAAAACATTTAGTACCTAAACTATCATTTTTGATCCGTTTTAATACCGAAAGTTTCAATCTCTTCAAAACTTCACGTTAAATTTTGAACGGGGTGCTAAAATGAAACAATAACTAAAGTTGTTAACGGCAGGTTACTAAATGAAACAAAAACTAAACTTTAGGTATGGTCTTGAAAAAATTAAAAGTTTAGGTACTAAAACAGACTAAAAACTGATAGTTTAGGTACTAAACACGTAATTTACCCTAATATCTTGAAATTTAGATATATTAGTTTATATAAAAGAACTTATTTAGATGTTTTAGTAGTTAAGGGGAGTGTTGTTCTCCTTTAAGATTTTAAGTTTGAGCAGTTACGTTAGCAAGGTGCGCGCGTTGTCAACGGTTAAAAAAGATTACAAACGTATATTATATTGTAACCAATAATTAAGAGTGTTGCTCTCCTAGTCTCCTTTAAAGACATCCATATTTATAAGATATGTACGTTATCGATAATTGAGTTTGAATTAAATTGGGTTTGATTTCCTTTCCTTGATTAACAAAATAAACTACTTATCAATAATATTAATAAATATTTTTATTTTGGAATCTAATGGATCTAAAACAAGTTTACTATATCCCATTGAGATTGCATAAATAATTACCAATAGATGTGATGGATCCAATGCTTCTTGTTAAAAGTGATTTAGGCCAAATTTGGATGTTTTGGACTTATTAGTGTTGCCATTAGGTACGTATTTATTATTATTTTAGATAATCAAAAATTGTTTTTCAATTAAAAATTACATCAAAGGGTCACTAAACTATGCTGGAACACACATGCATTTAACTATACGTTTTAATTAAGCCTCACCTAACGCCAACCTGCCAAGTGATTTACTAGAAGAGCCCTGCGCTTGTAGGGAAAATACTGTGAACGAATCGGTAGAGAGAGCATAAGAGCAATTATGGTATGTTTATTTCATTTTAACTGACTGCTGAGGATGTAGACATAAGAGCATAAGTAGTTAAAAGGACACAACACAAGGTGCCTACAAGTAGGGACAGACATGGATCAGAATCCGACGAACTTTGATTCGATCTAAATTTATAATTGATTGATTTTGAAAAAAAATCAGTTTTGGATCGGTTTTTAGAGGATAAGTTCAATTCAAATTTAGATTTAAGCTGAAAAATACTTGACCCGATCCAATCAAAAAAACAATGTAATTATACATTATATATGTAGAGACAATTGCAATAATACTCTCTATATTATTTTTTCCAACTAGATCCTTATTTTCTAAATAGAGATTAAGATTTTTTTATAAATATATTTGTGTCGAATTAGGTCAAGCTTGGATTTAAGTTTTATCTCAAAAGATCGGATTTCAAGTTGTGTTCAGTCACCCTAAACCCGAGCCAAATCAGGTTTCAAGTGGGGGTGTATACTTTTCAGGCGACGCTAGATTGACCAAAAATAAAATTCAACCCGACTTATACCCATCCCTACCTACAAGTAGGGGGACTAAAAAGGGTGACCGAAAATAGTTGTTCCTGTGAAAATTATGAATTATCATATATTTAGATATTTCCTTTGTATTTTATATTAATAACATGTTTTAACTCTTAAAAAATTATAAGTTCTATCAATTCTTAAATTTTTAAGAATTATCTTCCCTAACATAAAATCATACATATATCCTCATCAAGTTCTCCACTATTTTCTAAGGGAAAAAGAGTTTAAAAAGAAAAGAAAAACGAGGCTTATTCTTCTAAATTATAAATGGAATTATTTGTTTCATTCCTCATCTGAGCCTGAACCTTCAGGGCTTGAGCCTTTATTATTCTGCACCGTGCCAATAGCCGCAGGGCCCTTCCTTTTTGTATTCTTCTCATCTTCCTCGTCTTCGCTGTATTCGCTCTCATAATCATCATAGTCCTCTTCGTTCTCCTCTTCCTCTTCGATTCCATCCTCCAAAAGAGGTCCTTCTTCCGATACATGACCACCACGGGTGCCGGCTCGTGTCCTTTTCAGAATCTTAACCTTCAAGCTTGTCTTTTTATCGCAACCTATCCACGAGTCGCACAGACAGTAGCAAGTCAAGTTGTAGTTCCCTTCCACCGGGGCGGGGAATTTGCCCATCACCAACCTGGAGCCACCTCGAACCTTCTCTATTGTTCTTTTAACAGCTTCACTTGTCTCCTTAGCACTTGCTCCTGAAACCTCCATTGTCTCCTGAATCGTTTTCGAGGCGGCAGTTATTGCTGTAGCTTCGTCCATGAAGCTCACCTTCTGGGAAAACCACACGTTGTTTGAGACGGCATCTGCAAGCAAAAACCAGAAATTTTCTTCCTTGTGGAAGGGGAATAAGGGCATGGGGAAGTGCACTGGTCAGGCCATTGCCACGCTCGAGTTTTATCCAAACTTGAACCGTCACAACGTCCCCCTCTTGAATACCTTCTTCACCCTCGGTCTCACATGTACGTCAACAGTTAGGGAAGGCATCATTTCCAACACCATGTCAACATCTTGTACTTCGGCAGGAGAAAATCCAGCAGTTTGTGTTAGAAGTTGAGCACGATCTTCCATAGTCATGTCTCGAAGGTCTTGAAATGTTCTCACCTTCTGCAACAGAGCATAAATAACTCTTAACCGTGAGATAGGTTTAAGGGCCAAGAAACTTAGGTTTCCCTTGGTAATCCAACTTAGACAAAACGAGTAAGAATCTTCCCCTTGTATTTTGTACCATATATCAGACAGATTCAAGGATATATGGCATATGGCAAATCTAGAGCACAAACTATATCGAAGTTTTGGGTATGTTACCCGAGTCCAATTCGAACATCTATTTACAATTTCCAACATAGAATATTATGGAGAGATCTAGCTCCTTCATTGACAGCTAGAAGGTGAAATGTTAAAACAGTGCATTCTTGCAAAAAAAAAAATCTCACTAACCTTGCGAGCGATCTTTTTCACGACAGCCTCACTAAAATGTGGCAGCTGCAAGA